TTTCTTTAGATTTTGTTCTCTCTTTTTCCGTGAATTCTTCCTTGGCCACCTCATTTATTTAATTACTTAATTAATCCAAACAATATGGAAAAAGGATAAAAAGACAAACAACGAAGGGGGAAGCAGTGAAATTCCATAAATGCCCATGAAATGGCAAGAAAATGTGAAATGAGTCAATCTACGTGCATGATCCTTGTTGGGGGTCCCATCTATGTTTGCCAAACTAGGAATCTGCATGGGAGGGCCGTGAACAAACCCTTCTAGTTTCCGCAATCCAGAGTGTATATGGTGCTCATAATTGATTCAATAAGCTAAAAGCTTAAATTGAAGAAAATAAATGCATTAAACAAGAATTAATTAGTGTTGTTGCTAATTATCTACCCATCATGGTCCTTTTTTAATTGTGTTCGATTTAGATCAATGATTTAATATCGTAAATATAGATGGATTTAAAATTTATGTTCACAAGAATAAATATATGTATATATATTTAACAGCAACAAAATATATGTATATATATATTACATAAAAATAACATATTATAAATGTTTTTTACGAATTTTTATAATTCAAACATGTCGTAAAATCTAAATCAAGTAATTCTTTTAACATAAAAAAGGCTAAACTTTTTGAGAAGGGTGTTCAAATTTGTTCAATAATAGTGTTGTCTCGCTTGTATATTGTGGATGAGGAAGGTTGCAAAATAATCTTTACCTACCTATTGGTGGCAATGAGGAATAATCTCCATGTAAAGACAATAACAGAAGGCAATAATTAATCTTCCTGCAATGGTTAGTACAATTTGTACTTTGCAACACGTCTTAATCAATTTGGTGAAATGTCCATGTAAGTTTCAATATCCACACAAAAGCTTATAATTTGCCTTATTAGTTTTAGACATGTCAAAGCACCCTTAAAACAGACAAATTAATCTATGATTGTAGTGTCACGTGCTCAACATAAGTAGCTTAGCTACAAAGCCTATTTAAAGAAATGTAAATAATTTTATGTATTGCAATAAACTTTAACGTTAATCCATGCAAAACTTGGAAATTGTGTTCAAGTTTCAACCACTTAGCTAAAGATGTTAACCTTTGTCTTAATTAGTCATTGACAAGAAAA